CCCGATGTCCGCTAGGATGGAGTGGGGCGCCATGACTAGGAGATGACGCCTGTGCATGGCGCCAGTGACAGACAGGGCCACGACGTGGAGTTGTCCCTGTTGACGTCTACAGGGTTGGCGGGACCCACATGAAAGAAAAGGACCTGGCGATCCTAGAGGACTTCTCCTTCTCATTCTCCTCTTTTCCCTCTACTATAACCCATGCTTTCCCTTGGCCCATAAAAGGGAAAGCAGGGCGCCCCATGAAGGGGACTAGAACCCATTGAACCCCGAACCGATCAAAACTCACAAGCACACAGCTGGGAAGCGACCAAGCTCTCAGCACCTGTTCGCTCCTCTCACCAGAGACTTCAGACCTGTCCCTCTCTCGACCATTTGTAACCCCTACTACGAACTTTCAATGCTAGTAACACGAGCAGCAGCAACAAACTAGACGTAGGGACATTCTACCCGAACCAGTATAAACCTCATGTCCTCTTAGCACACCATCCGAGCCAAACGCGCGATATTAGAAATTTACTTGTCGGAGGCAACTCGAAACACCGACACAAAGTAGCATTCATACAAAGTAATTGAGCACAACAACTACCGACCGAAAAGTACTCTGTTTCGATGGTTGAGAGTGCTACACTATTTTGCTTCTTTGATGACCAAGATATACAAGTGATCTTCCCAATAGTTGACATGTGCCTGATGTGCTCTTTCTCTCAACTTTGCATCCCGCATAATCCGAATCGAAATATCCAATAAGCTCAAACCTTGCATCTTTGGGATACCACAATCCAACATTTTGTGTATGCTTCAAGTACCTCAATATTCTCTTTGTTGTTTTCAAATGACTTTCTCTTGGTGAGGCTTGAAATCTTGCACACATGCATACACTAAACATCACATCCGCCTTGATGCGGTCACATAGAGTAGGCTTCCAATTATAGACCGATACATCTTTTGATCCACCATATTGCCACTAGCATCACTATCCAAGTTTTCATTTGTCCCTATTGATGTGCTAATAGCTTTAGCATCATCCATTTCAAACTTCTTGAGCATGCCTTTGATATACTTGCCTTGACTCACAAATGTGTCATTCTCCATTTGCTTGATTTGAAGACCAAGTATTTAAGCTCACCAATCATAGACATCTCAAACTCACTTGCCACCATCTTTCCAAACTCCTCACAAAAATCTTGATTTGTTGATCCAAATATGATATCATCAACATAAATTTACAACACAAATAAGTTATTGCCTAGCTTCTTGGTGAAGAGAGTGGTGTCAACCTTTCCCATCTTAAATCCCTTAGAGAGTAGGAAATCCCTCAATCTCTCATACCATGCTCTTGGTGCTTGCTTCAAGCCATACACAACCTTTCTCAACTTGTAAACATGGTTGGGTTTCTTTTCATCTTTAAAACTAGGAAGTTGCTCAACATACACAAGTTCATTGATGTACCAATTTAGAAATGCACTCGTCACATCCATTTGGTACAACTTTATGTTGTAGGCACAAGCATAGGCTAACAAGAACCTAATTGCTTCTAATCTTGCAACTGGGGCATATGTTTCTCCAAAGTCAAGACCTTCAACTTGAGTGTAACCTTGAGCCACTAATCTTGCTTTGTTCCTTACAACTATCCCATCTTGATCTTGCTTGTTCCGAAAGACCCACTTAGTTCCAATCATATTATGATCCTTAGGCCTCTCAACTAACTCCCACACTTGATTCCTTGTGAAGTTGTTTAGCTTTTCATGCGTAGCATTTATCCAATCAACATCCTTCAAAGCTTCAACTATCTTCTTTGGTTCAATAAATGACACAAATGAGAAATATTCATAAAATGATACTAATCTTGATCTTATTTGCACACTTCTTGAGATATCACCAATTATGTAGTCCAAAGGATGATCTCTTGTAACATTGGTTGGTTGGATCACTTGTACTTGATTGCTTGTATTTGATTGACCACTTGGTTGAGATGATGAACTAGCCACTTGTTGTTGATCTTGCACCTTGTCATCACTTGCACTTGCTTGACCTTGATCATGAGAACCACTAGCTTACACATTTGAGTTAGAGAGCACTTAATTCTTGTCATCTTCAATATCAATTACCTCTCTAGGCCATATGTCACCAATGTCCATGTTCTTCATTGCATTGATCAATTGAGTGCCTTTCACATCATCTAGATTCTTATCTTCCTCTTGGAAACCATTGGTTTCATCAAATTCCACATCATGAACCTCCTCAAGAGTACCACTAGCCAAATTCCAAACTCTATAAACCTTGCTAGTAGTTGAGTAACCAAGCAAGAAACATTTATCACATTTCTTCTCAAACTTGCTCAATCTCGTACCTTTTTTCAATACATAGCATTTAAAAACCCCCGAAAGTATACAATATTGGGCTTTCTTCCATTTAAGAGCTCATAAGGTGTCTTCTCCATCATGGGGTGATAATAGAGTCAGTTGCTATAGTAGCAAGCCGTGTTGATTGTCTCGGCCCAAAATGAATGACTCACATTATACTCACTCAACATTGATCTTGTCATGTCAATTAAAGTTCTATTCTTTCTCTCAACTAGGCCATTTGATTGAGTGTATTTGGCCCTAAATTGATGCCTAATTCCGAACTCATCACACAAATCATCAACTCTTGTGGTCTTGAACTTACTTCCATTGTCACTTCTCACTTTCTTGATGGTGGTCTTAAACTCATTGTGAATTCTCTTGATGAATGTCTTGAAGGTTGCAAACACATCACTCTTGTCAACAAGAAAAAAGACCCAAGTGTATCTAGTGAAATCATCCACAATCACAAATCCATATTTGTTTCCACCAATGCTAATGTATGTGGTTGGTCAAAATAAGTCCATGTGCAACAACTCAAATGCCTTAGATGTACTCATCATATTCTTCTTAGGATGTGTGTTATCAATTTGCTTTCCGGCTTGACATGCACTACATAGCTTATCATACTCAAATGTGACATCTTTCAAGCCTCTAACTAGATCATGCTTAATCAATTTATTCAATTGTTTCATTCTAATATAACCAAGCCTTCTATGCCACAACCAACCCATGCTAGACTTAGTGAGCAAACATGTTGACAATTGGGCTCCTCTAGCATTGAAATCAACCAAATATAGATTCTCATATCTAAATCATTTGAAATCAACCAAGTTAGCACACTAGATTCCTAAATACATATGCAAAAGTCATGTCACCTAGTGGCACTCGATAAACCTTTTAGCTAAAGATTTTCTCTCTTTATAGTACGGCTATCGATCCTAAGTCACTCACACCCTCTATGGTGTCTTGAGTGCAAAACAAAAACCTATCATATACCTTTGTCTTGATCATCTCGGTTTTTGTTTTTTCTCTTTTTTCTTTTTCAAGTTGAGCTTGATCATCTTCAACATATGTCCATCTCCATCTCTATGGACTTCATCACCATGCTCCACACTTGGATTACACCAACCTAGCTCATTTCATAACTCATGACAAAGGTTAGTGCTAGGTTTCATCAATTATCCAAAATCAAACTATGGCTTTCGCTCAGGCTGTCCGCCCCGCCAGCAGCGGCTGCTGCTCCTTCACCGGTGCGGGCGCGGGCGTCCCCGGCACGTCCGTCCTCGGCGCTTGCACGGGCGCGTCCCCCCTCTTCCACGATTTGCGAACATTTGTGATTTTTTCTAAAATTTAGCAACAATTTGTGAACAATTTGACATATATTTTTCTGGTATCTGCAATCCATAGAAATAATTTGTAAACTTTTTTGAAAAATTTGGCATATATTTCTTCGAGATCTGCAATAAGTTGTGTTATCCCCAAATTATATCACTTTGTCCAATAAATTACACTGAAGAAGTAATTGTAAATATAATAATAAGACAATTAAATATAGCTAGAAGACAGTGCAAGTGCATGAGAAAAATTGAGTTGACATGAGGGCACAAAACAACTGAATGTCACCTAGACGGATCCTTGGCTAATGGCTACGCACAAAGTGGCCGGACCGTACCAATTCGTCCCCCGCCGCGGGCGCGGTAGGGTCTCGCCGGAGCTTCGCGGCCGGTGAGATCCTACCCGCACCCTCCCCCCCCCTGCTCCCCCCTTCGCCATGGCTATGGTTGCCCCCGTAATATAATTACAAAATGCAATATAGTTATAGTAAAGTGGGCATACAAACATCATAGAATTGGCAAGTCTAGCATACTTAATGTAAAACTTCTGCACTTTTGCCATCCATGCTGAATAACGCCCTATCTCCAAACCACTATTCCAACCATATCGCCACTTCGAGACAAGTAGATCTAGCCGGGCAAACTCGTTGTGCTGGAGTTCGTCACATCAATCTATGCTCGGACCTAGCCGCCTCTTCTACATGCTTAGTGGAGTGAAGCTCGCGTAGGTTATGCCTGTGACAAAAACTGGATCTAAGAAGAGAGTCATTATAGAAGAGTGAAAGAAAAAAGAACAATGAGTGAGAAAAGGTGTTCTAGGTCGTTGCTGTTAGAGATGTACTCCTTCTATTTTAAATTATAAGACGTTTTAGGTTTTTCAGATTTATAATTTTTATTATATATTGAGACATAATGTATATCTAAGTGTATAACAAATACTATGTTTGTTAAAAAGGTACAAAATGTCATAATTTAGAATAGGAGTATCAGATATCACACCCATTATTTACGATTTAAACATGGTGGCTAATTTTTAGCTAGAAAATGATTATAATGCTGATCCGGGTATCGGCCCCTTTACCTGCAACTCGATCGTGTCTAGGGCAAGTGGCCGGCCAAACGTCACCGCTGACGCTCGGCCGGCGGGATCCCAGAAAATGGAAAGAAAACGCTAGCCCATTAAAGAAAAACAAAACAAGCAGATGCGGCTATTGCTATAAGCCATCAGATTAGGAAGCGATCCATCCATCAGTCGGGTCCTCGACAAACAAAGCCACCACCACCCCAAACAGATCGACCGACCACCACGGGCGCCGCCATGTCCACCGCTGACGACGCGGCGAGCCCAGCCCTGGCGCCGGACGGGGACGCGCCGGCGGGCGAGGGCCTGGCCCTGGCCCAGTTCGCCGCGGGCTGCTTCTGGAGCGTGGAGCTGGTGTACCAGCGCCTCCCCGGCGTGGCGCGCACGGAGGTCGGGTACTCGCAGGGCCACCGCCACGCCCCCACCTACCGCGACGTGTGCGGCGGCGGCACGGGCCACGCTGAGGTGGTGCGCGTGCACTACGATCCCAACGCCTGCCCCTACGACGTCCTCCTCGACGTCTTCTGGGCCAAGCACAACCCCACCACGCTCAACAGACAGGTGTGCCCGCGTTTCCTGAAAAACCCCACGCTCTGTCTCTCTCTCTCTGGCGCCGCCGCGCCGGCGCCGGCGCCGTCACAGCCGATCGATCCTGTCGCCGGCGTGGCAGGGCTGGTTGGGGGTCCACTGCAAGTGCAAGCCAGGTTCAATGGACCTGGTCACTCTGTTCGATTCCGCGGTATAGGATACGCCAAGTTGCGCCTTTCGGAACCGTTGAACACGGTCTCTGCTTCTTTATTACACCGTGTAGGAGTACCCCAAACCGTTGACTTCGCTGTTCATGCTAAGGGTCTGTTTGGTTTGTAAATTTTTTGACGAAATGTTACTATAGCATTTTCGTTATTATTTGATAATTAGTGTTTAATCATAGTTTAATTAGGCTTAAAAGATTCGTCTCGTAGATTTCGTCTAAACTGTATAATTAATTTTATTTTTTATTTATATTTAATGCTTCATGCATGCGTCTAAAGATTCGATGTGACGGAAATCTTGAAATTTTTTACAAAATGAAGTGAACTAAACTGGCCCTAATGCGGGTGAAATTCAGAAATACTATCGATAATCGATCCCAACCAATATTGGTAAACAAGTCAGCATCAGTCGATGTCTTGTAGAGAAGCATCATATTCATTCATCAAAAGAAACGTGGATAGCGATAGACAAGCGGCTGTTAATAGTATGAAACCGACCATTAACGTCAGCATCCTTGTGTAGTCGTTTAGCCAGTCATTCGTTTGATTCCATAAGTAAATGAAACACACCGCCGACCCACGTTTTTTTGTTGTTGGAGGATGACGGCCACTCATAACCGATCATTTCTACCCTGTTTAATTGCTTGCTCCAATGCGTTTATCCGTCAGGGCAACGACGTCGGGACGCAGTACCGGTCGGGCATCTACTACTACACGCCGGAGCAGGAGAAGCTGGCGCGGGAGTCGCTGGCGGCGAAGCAGAAGGAGTGGAAGGACACCATCGTCACCGAGGTCCTGCCGGCGCGGCGCTTCTACCCCGCCGAGGAGTACCACCAGCAGTACCTCGAGAAGGGCGGCCAGTCCGCCAAGAAGAGCTGCAGCGATCCCATCCGCTGCTACGGCTGACGCCCCCCCCCCCAGGCCCCAGCCAGCACCGGACGCCGTGAATGAATTGTGCTGCTGCATTGTTGCGTTGTATCGTAATCCAAGATGACGTTGTGTTGTGAATCGTGAGACATGCTGTTCAGAGGTCTATGTTGATGCTTGTGCAGTTGTGCTGGAATAAACGCATGGATCGTGAAGGTTATTATACGTTGATGCTTTGTGCTGGAACTGTGAAGAAGGTTTGTTTCATAATACTACTAATTCATAATAGGATCACGCACGGGCAGACACGATGGACCAACTGCGCACTGGCCATCTGCCACGCTGAAATGAATTACGGGTAGGTTCAGCTTAACTCTGGTCAGATGTGCTGTTCATGACGCTTTGGTGACCATAACAATCTGGTGACCACAAGCACACCAAGACAGGCTGACAGGGGACATCTGGAGCCATCGGTCAAGGCTGTGATGTTCCTTCCTTGGATGCGCCGTGAATAACGCCTTTGCTGTGCTTTCGAATTTCGAACAGTGAACAACTCGGAGATTTGAGATCCCCTCTCGGTCTCTCCCAAGGCGATTTATTTGCTCTCAATTAAAATATTCTAACTTTCATTATGAATTTCAGGTTCAGCAACATTTTGACTTCGAAAAATGACAGCAACGTGCATCCAATATGATGATTCTCATCATCTGAACAGCTGAGAGTGGTCTTGAGTCATGAGGATTACGAGATGCTAAGATGGACAGCCTGAAAACAAATCAATCTCTAGCTGTCCTCTCTCCTCTCCTAACCATCCAATGAAGATATAAGTGTTTGGTTTAAGAAGGGTTGCTCCATCTCACTTGTCTTTTTTTTTGTGCAATGGAATGAGCCGGTTCATCACCATATCATTCTTCTCAAACTAATAATTTATATAAGAATAAGGAGTGTTGTTCTAGAAAATCATGTAATGAACTCATGATACACCACCTCAACTAGCTAGAATAAGATGATTTCACAAGCACACCTAATAGTCTTGACTATATTTTTAATCTGCTGATGGTGACCTCCGCAAGCATCGTTGACAGAACACAAGCTCCAGTGACGACTCTAGCCTCCCCTCCTCGCCGTAGCGGGGAGTCATTGTTATAGTACTGTTGCACCACTTGCCTGCCGCTCTCCAACAAGAGATCGAAGTTTGACGGTTATTAACTCACTGAAATGTAATCCACCCCTAACAGTTTAGGTGTGGCACCATGAAGCATTGATGTACTCCAATAGTGTGATGAGTTTACTATTGGAGTACATGAGAGGTGTGATGAAGATTAGGAGTTCTCCAATAGTAAACTTCATATATTATCATCTCATCTCACACTATAAAAGAACGAGTTTTTTAGGGGTTCTCCCTCTATAATAACCGTTCGATCTAAATGTCGTGCTATATAAGCCCTCCGTCATCCGTGATTTTACATGTAAGATGTAAGACTCCTCATCAACTAAGATTCCTCCTAAACCTCGAAAAAAGGAAAATAATACACGTCAGATGTAAGACTCCAACGCCCATACAAGCTAAATTATTATGTTCGAGGACTCCAACGCCAAAACAAGCCAAAAAGGACTCTGACGCCCATACGAGCCAAAATATGAGTGCAAAACGTATTTATACGAGCTAAAAATATTAATGTGAAATATATTTTGTCTATGATATATATGAACTGATATATTGAGAATTCAATTAGTATTCCCATTGCATTTGAAATATTTTTCGTAAACACATGCATGTCGCACAGGCATATTTGCTAGTCTATAAAAAGGTGTCACACAGTAGTCTCTTATCTACATGGAAGAGAAAGAGTCACGCTATAAAAGAACGAGTTTTTTGAGGGGGTTCTCCCTCTATAATAACCGTTCGATGTAAACGTCGTGCTATATGAGCCATCCGTCATCCGTGATCTTACATGTAAAATGTAAGACTCCTACTCAACCAAGATTCCTCCTAAACCTCGAACAAAGAAAAATAATACACGTCAGATGTAAAACTCCAATGCCCATACGAGCCAAATTATCGTGTTCGAGGACTTGAACGCGGAAACAAGCCAAAAAGGACTGACACCCATACGGTCAAAAAGGACCGTGACACCCATACGAGCTAAAATATTAGTGCAAAACGTATTTATACGAGCCAAAAATATTAATGTGAAATATGTTTTGTCTATAATATATATGAACTGATATATCGAGAATTCAATTAGTATTCCCATTGCATTTGAAATATTTTTGTAAATACGTGTGTGTCGTACGGACATATTTGCTAGTCTATAAGAATGTGTCACACAATAGTCTCTTATCTACATCGAAGAGAAAGAGGGTTGAGCGAGAAAAGTCAGTTTTGTAAATCTACTTTCATTTTGTAAAACACGTACTCCTATCTTAAGTTAAACTTACTTTTAAACTTTGACCACTAATATTTATATAGATTGACAAATTAAATACTAACACCGTTAGATTTATTATGAAAAATGTTTTCATAATAAATATAGCGATGTCATTATTAAGTTGTCATTTAAGATATATTTTGGTGAAAAAATTAGTTAAAGTTATAACTATTTAAGAATAAATCTATATTGACTTATATTATTAATTGGACAAAGTATTAGATGGTAAATGGCTAAATAAAGAGCCTGCTTGGTTCACTTCTAAAATTTACCAAACTAAGGATTTGGCAAGCCATAATTTTGACTAGTATCTGGTTGCCTACCAAAGCTTACCAACCTCTTAAATTTGGCTTGTCAAATCTTTGATAGCTTTTTTACCTAACTTTTGACTGCCAAAACTTTAACATGACAAATTTTGGTCACGAACCAAGCCCACAAAGCATGGCTACTCTGATGTAAAAAGAAACATGTATTAGAAAATTTAGACGTAGCAACTAGTTCAACCGCACGAGATTATATATACTAATACCTATAGGGTATTATGGATTATATTAATTAGAAGGTTAGTATCATAGCCATTATTTAGGTGCCAGGACAACCTAATTTTTTATAATTTGACTATTTTTTAAAGAAAATTTATGTTTGGTCTTTTGGGAGACGTAAACTCATCTTTGACTCTGGAATTTGGCGTCAGGATTCATGGCACCGAGGTAACACGTCTCGGTGCCACAAATCTTGGCTCCAAGATGTCTGACCGTGCATAGTAGAATATCCTAGATGACATTGACGTGGTCGATAGCTCAATATTAGAATACATGACACAAGGATCGGAGCCATGTATCGTGGCGCCAATCGGCACCACAGATCTGGCGTCGACCTGGACAGGCACCCGCGCGACGGGGCGGGTGTGGGAGACACGGCCGCGAGGCGGACTATGGACTACGGTGTGCGGCTGCTGCATGCGCCCCCTCCCTCGGGACGCGGAGCCATGAATGTGGTCATGGCCTCAGGCAGCTGGCTGGCTTCCCTGCAGGTAGGCTAGCTGTCCTTGCTACTGTCTACTAGGCCGGACTACCTCACTCACCCTCATCAGTCATTAGTGATGCAGCCAGCTTTTCTTCTCCATGGCACGGAGCCTTTGTTTAGTTGGCTAAATTTTGAAAATTTGTTATGGTAATATTTTTATTTTTATTTGATAATTAGTGTTCAATTATGAATTAATTAGGCTTAAAACATTCGTCTCGTAATTTTCAACCAAATTGTGCAATTAGTTTTTTTCGTCTATATTTAACGCTCTCATACACGTATCGTAAGATTCGATATGATAGCTACTGTAGCATTTTTTGAGAAATTTTTTTGGAACTAAACAAGACCAAAGATGAGGATGAGGATGAGTTGATGCAAATGCACACAGCGCACACAAACACTCCTGACATGTACGAGCTCTGCCTCTACTGTCACAGGGACGTTCGGCAGGACTGAAAAATTCTGTTCCGACTGATTGTTGTGAGAAAAAAATACTGTTTTGACAGGACGTAACAGTGATTTCATGAGGTGGCTAGCCAGCCGAACACCGCCTCAGGTGCAGAAAACTACACATTGGTCAGAGTCTTCTTCACTGCACATTTTAACGTCCGAGTGATTTAGATCAATTCAAGGTTCTGGACTAGAATCCGGCTTGTTTTTCCAGCGGAGGCCGTGTTTTTCTCTCTACAGGAAATCAGTATGAACAGTATAAACCAGCATAAACAGTAGAAATTTCAGTCCAGCCGAACCGTAGAAATTTCTTCACTCCTGACATGTTTTTTCTTCCAATTTTTTTAAAAAAAGCTAAATGTCTTAGCAGGCTATAGCCACACTTAGCTGTTGCGAACGACAACAATTAAGAGGTTTAGTTGGAGGATTTAAACACTAAGGCCCCGTTTAGATCTCCCCAAAACCCAAAAATTTTTGCACAACAACATCGAATTAAGAGGTTTAGCTGGAGGATTTAAACACTAATTCTAACTAGTAAACTGCAAGCACATCTTGTCCAAGGATATTTTTAGAAAGGTATTTTAGGTTAACCACTTTGATAGAAGAGACATGTAATTTAGAAGTACCAATGGTGATCAGAGTACTCAATTGATTAGAGTATACCATGCAAGAGTATGTATGTTCTACTAAATAAATCATCATTATATACAGCGATTTGTTTGCTGTTAGTGAGAGTACTAAAAGGCGTCGCCTGGAGTTTGGAGTTTACTTGGTGGGCGGACACGGACAACAGACGACGGACACGACCGACCATGCCGGGGACCAGGCGACGCCCTGCCCCTCCTCTGCCAAGACATGGACGCTCACCAGCCACTGGCGCCTGCCGCCCTGCCTGCCCGCGTCCCGAGGGAGGGGGCGCATGCAGCAGCCGCACTCCGCAGTCCGCGTCGCGGCCGTGTCTCCCGCACCCATCCCGTCGCGCGGGTGCGTGCGCAGGTAGGCGAAGATCTGTGGCGCCCGGAGTTGAGATACGTGGCACCGATGTCGGCGTACGTCGAGTTATCGGTCACGTCAATATCACTAAAGATGTTCGGCTGTACACGGCTAGACATTTTGAAGCTAAGATTTATGGCGTTAAGATGTGTTACCTCGGGACCATAAATCCTGACGCCGATCCTCAAAGTTCAAAGATGAATTTACGTCATTCAAGACCAAACGTAATTTTTTTATAAAAAAAGAGCCAAATTATAAAAAATTAGACCAAGACAAGCATTAATTTGGTGACACATGATATTTTGCTGACAACGGCAAATAAAGAACAGAGAAACATACGTATGCTCAGAGCTCAATGTTACAGATATTCTTAATATATCAATTTTTTTGCGAGTAAAGATTCATAATATATCAATTACTAACTGACTTGTGATAAGATTCCACATTAAAAGTCGGTTTAATTTTGTCCTAAGTCACGATTAATTTCACTAGTTTTAACCAAGTGTATAGAAAAATACATAAACATATATAAAATCAAAAATAATTTATCAGATATATTATATAACATGAAATATATTTTGATATTGTATTTATTTTACTAATGTAGAGTTAATATGACTTTCTAAAAAAAGACTGAGTTAAGACAAATCCAAAACTACTTATGATTTGAAACATAAGAGCATCTTCAAAATACTCTTCGTATCTTTCCTAAATGTTAGGAATAGATATTTTGATGAGAAATTATCCTCCAACATCTTTTCTAAATGGTTATTCAAATATAGTCATATTCTATTCTGTATTTTTCGCTAGCCAGAATTAGAAGACGAGAATGGCTTCTCTAGAGTGCGCATGAGATATAGAAAAAATGTTGGAGAGTGAAAAGTTATAGAAAACGATTTTTAAGTAAATGACTCTTCAAATAATAATTTAGAGAGAGATTTAGAAAGTGTCTGGCAGACGCTCTAAGGACTATCATTGTCTAAACTACGCTGTAGCAGTAACTATAATCTCCTCGGAAGATTCCCATATATGAAGGTCAAGACACGTTTAGCACCCGTTTTTTAATGGCGTGGGGCCAACCCGAAGGAACCCCACCCCAAATTCCCGATCTGGTTCGCGCTCCTGGATCGGACCCGAAACACTCGTCCGATTTGAACTCCAGCAGAAATGGTCGCCGACGACCTGCGCAGCCTCGCCACCGTCGCGGCCGCGGTGATCGCGTGCATGGGCTACGCCCGCTTCACGGCGCGCCGGCTCCGCCCGGGCCTGCCCCGCCTTGCCGCGTTCCTCCCGGTGCTCGCCGTCTTGCCTTTCCTCCCGCTCGCCTTCCGTGCGCTCCACCCGCGCGCCATCTCCGGGTTCTTCCTCGCCTGGGCCGCCGAGTTCAAACTACTGCTCCTCGCATGCGGCCAGGGCCCGCTCCAGCCGACCCTCCCGCTGCCCACCTTCGTCGCCATCGCCACCTTCCCCATGACGCTACGGGATCCCAAGAGCTCCACCGCGAGGCCGGGCCTGGGGCTCGTGGAGTCCGCCGTCATGGCCGCGCTGCTCGCGGCCATCGTGTCGCTGTACCGGTACGAGGAGCGGATGAACGGGTACGTCCTGCTCACGCTCTACTCCGTGCACGTGTACCTGGCGCTGGAGCTCGTCCTGGCGGCGGCCGCGGCGGCGTCGCGCGCGCTGGTGGGCCTGGAGCTGGAGCCCCAGTTCGACCGGCCCTACCTCTCAGCCTCGCTGCGCGACTTCTGGGGCAGGAGGTGGAACCTCTCCGTGCCGGCGCTGCTCCGCCAGTGCGTGTTCCGCCCCGTGCGCGCGCGCCTCGGCGCCCCCGCCGGTGTGCTAGCCGCGTTCGTCGTCTCGGGACTGATGCACGAGGCCATGTTCTCCTACATCACGCTGCTGCCGCCCACGGGGGAGGCGGCCGCGTTCTTCACGCTGCACGGGGCGTGCGCGGTGGCGGAGGGGTGGTGGGCCGCGCACGAGCGATGGTCGCGCCCGCCAAGCGCCCTGGCCACGCCGCTGACACTGGCGTTCGTGGTCGTGACGGGTTTCTGGCTCTTCTTTCCGCCGATCACGAGGCCCGGCGCTGACAAGCAGGTGATCGCGGAGAGCGAGGCCATGGTCGCGTTCCTGCGGGACGCCGCGGGCTTGGCGGTCGACTCCGCCTGGTCAATCTTGTCAAGCTGGTCCTAAACTGTGTGCCGGATGGGTGCGGTGCGCGTCCACCGTGCTTGTCTCCGAGGTTTATGTTTGTGGCATGAAAAGTGAGCATCTGTTTGCAGTTCCTCGTGGGATGGTGAAAAGTTCAGAAATATTCTTGCAAATTCGGATGAGGAAAAATTTAGATGAAAATTGTAGTTCAAAGTGTTCAACAACTTTGTATGTTTTTTAGATAATGTACAACTTTTTTGTAGTTGCTGACCTATTTATATGTGGGTAAAGTCCAATTTACACCCTCCAACTTTCACCAAAGTTCGGATTTCAACCTCGAACTTCAAAACCGGACAACTTTGGCCCTCCAACTCTTGAAAAAGTTCAACTTTCAATCTTCTGGCGGTTTTGTGGGTGAACAGTACTTTTGATATTTTCGGGACGCGCCGAAATTTTATATTATTTTTTCGAGCATCTTAACGTCCTCAAATGAAAAAACTCAAAACTACAAAGTTGTAGATCTCATCGAGGTCTACAATTTACATATAAAAATTATCTTCATCCGATATCATATTGAAGGGTTTTATATTTTTTAAAATTTGAGTCTCATCACGCGATAAAATATGGTGCTGAAATTTGATATTATTTTTTGAGCATTTTAGTGTCCTCAAATGAAACAATTTTGTCGCGTGATGAGACTCAAATTTCAAAAAATAGAAAATCCTTTAATACGATGTCGGATGAAGATAATTTTTATATGTAAATTATAGATCTCGATGAGATATACAACTTTATAGCTTTAATTTTTTTAATTTGAGGACAGTAAGATGCTCGAAAAAATAATATAAAATTTCAGCACCATATTTTATCGCGTGATGAGACTCAAATTTTAAAAAATAGAAAACCCTTCAATACGATGTTGGATGAAGATAATTTTTATATGTAAATTGTAGACCTCGATGAGATCTACAACTTGGTAGTTTTGAGTTTTTTCATTTGAGGACGTTAAGATGCTCGAAAAAATAATATAAAATTTCGACGCCTCCCAAAAATAGCAAAAGTTACTGTTCACCCGCAAAACCGCCAGAAGGTTGAAAGTTGAACTTTTTCAAGAGTTGGAGGGCCAAAGTTGTCCGGTTTTGAAGTTCGAGGTTGAAATCCGGACTTTGGTAAAAGTTGGAGGATGTAAATTGGACTTTACCCTTTATTTATATGTCTAATTAATCATCCAAGATTGCTTGCACATGCTGACAGACCAGTCTAACTAGTTTGTTACACAAGAACATCACCTAAAAAGGGAAGTTTGTTTACTTAGGACTCAGGCACGGCGATCTACCCTGTTGCAACTTCATCAGGTTGTAGTACATCCCTCCACGTCCGGCGGCGATGAGCTCCGCGTGCCGCCCTCTCTCCACCACCTTGCCGCCCTTCACCACCGCAATCATGTCGACCTTCTGCACCGTGGAGAGGCGGTGCGCCACGACCACACACGTCCTCCCCTGCAGCATCCTGTCGATAGCGTCCTGCACCAGCCTCTCCGACACGGTGTCCAGCGCGCTCGTCGCCTCGTCCAGCAGCAGGACTCGCGCGTTCTTCAGTATCGCTCGCGCCAGCGCGATCCGCTGCCTCTGCCCGCCGGACAGCTGCGCCCCGCGCTCCCCGACGCGCGCGTCGTAGCCGCCCTCCATCGCGCTGCGACACGGACGGAATCAATAAGTTTCAGGTGAAGAACCGAACAAAGAGGTGCACAACCAGCTGCAGAATCTGTACCTGATGAACTCGTGGGCGTTGGCAAGCTTGGCGGCGCTGGTCACCTCGTCCTCGGTGGCGTGCTCGTCGCCGTACATTATATTGTCACGGATCGTGCCGGAGAACAGCGTCGGCTCCTGGCTGACGAGCGCGATGTGCGACCGGAGGTGTGCCAGGCTGCAGCTCCTGATGTCCCTGCCATCGATCAGCACCGAGCCTTTCTGTGAAATGCAATACCTTGCGTACGAGCGCCCGTGGAGCCTAACGTGTGGCTGTAATTGGCTGCTTTTTGCACTGGGCCCTGCATGCATGCAAGCTTTTTGCAGGCTTTTTGCAGACGTGAGTACAGCCAGGGGCGTGCTATAGTGACCAACGTGGGACCCAGCTAAATAAACAAAGCAGAAATGACATGTAGCTGTGGGTCCGGCATAAATCTCGAGAATATATGAACCGTTAAGGTAGGTTCCGCGGACGCTCATACACAAGGTTTTTTTCACTCTGTAGAAGCGCTCGATCAGGCCGATGACGGTGGACTTGCCGGATCCGCTCGGTCCGACGAGCGCCCCGTCTTCCCCGCGCCTATCTCGAGGCTGAACCCATGGAGCACGCTCATCTCCGGCCGCGTCGGGTAGCTGAAGTACACGTTCCTGAACTCGATCTCGCCTTTCATCTCCTTCTGCTGCTTCCTCTTCTTCTTCGGTTCGCTGGCTTCGTCGCCGTCGTCCTTGATCATCGGTTCACGGTCCAGCGTGTCGAGGATGGACCGCACGGCGTCACCGCCCTTGGCTAGGTCGGACGTCAAGCTGCCGGCGTCGGCGATCACCCTCCCCATGGTCATGAGCATGAAGAACACCTGGAACAGGTGCGTGGGAGTGATGAGGCCCTTGGCCATGAGCCTGCCTCCGTACCACAGCGCAAGCGCCATGCTGCCCGTGTTGCTGAACTGGCACAGGGACAGGCAGAAGCCGGAGTACCACGACTCCACCCTGTTGTCCTTCCGCGGCGCCTCCTGCGCGGCCTCGTACAGGCGGAGCATCCGACGCTGCGACGAGAACGCGGTGATCGTCCGGTGGTTCACGACAGCCTCGCTGGCGAGCTGGCTCCCTTGCACCTGCGCCTTCTTGGCCTTCTTGGACATGGCGGTCATGAGCACCTTCTTGAAGTAGAAGCTCGCGATTATCAGTGGCTGCATCGCCATCATGACCACCGCGAGCCGCCACGACACGGCGAGGGCCAGAGAGAAACCTAGCGCCGCATTGGCGGCCGCCTGCACCAGGAGGCACATGCGGTCGCCGACGAGGGAGCGGACCTTGGTGGCCTGCGTGGCCAGCCGCGCGCACACCGCGGCGCTCGAGTTCTCGTCCTCGTCGAACCACCCGACCTCGAAGGAGAGTATCTTGGCGAACATCTGTCCACGGACGCGCTCTGTAAGGCGCTCACCCATGACGGCGAAGTTGTAGTGCTGCACGATGTTCGCCGTGATGCAGATGATGGCAATGCCGAAGAAGACGAGGGAGTACAGCCTGTTCAGAACAGAGTTCAGACAAACGTCACTGACATCGCCATGTCACTCTGCAATCTGTATCAGCGAGCACAGACGGACACATCGCACGGTACCTGGTCTTTGAACGGATGAGGTGATCGTCGCCGAGAAAATACACCTCCGGCAAAAATAAACTCCGAGGCTGTAAGAGTAGAGCGGAGAAAATACCGCACCGAAAACGATGGCGCCGGCGCACCCGAGCAGAGCTTGCTTCCATTCCGGCTAAAGCGATTCATCTTGAGCAGGCGGAGCTGCGAAGCGCTTTCTTCCGCGCGCATCTTGGGTCGTGGCCGTCGCGCCCGTGGTCTACCATTTCCACGGAGCGTTCGACCGACCTGAACGACGGCACCGGGCTTGGGTGGAAGTCGCTGGGCACCGACTTGATCTCAACGCTACGGAACGACACCCTGCTGCTCTCCGGCTCTACTTCCACCACTCGCTCGCGTTCCTCCCTCGCCACGGGCGCCTTCTGCAGCAGCGCCATCCGTGCGTAGACGCCGTCGCCTTCGCCGGCCTCCGTGCCGAGGAGGAGCTCGTCGTGCGTGCCGCACTCCACCACGCGGCCCGCGTCGAGCACGGCGATCATGTCTGCCTTTGCGGATCGTGGAGAGGCGGTGCGCCCGACGACGGTCGTCCGCCCACGGACGCCCGGTCCAGCGCTGCCCTCGCATCACAAGCTCCGACTTCGAGTCCAGCGCACTGGTCACCTCGTCGAGGAGCAGGATCTTAGGGTCCCGGATGAGCGCGCGCCGCGCGGGCGATGGCGATGCGCTGCTTCTGCCCTCCCGATAGCTGCGCCCCGAACTGGCCGACCTGCAAGTGCAAGCAGATTCATTGTTGGATTTTCTTTTAGTCATATTCATCAAATCGGGATATTTTGCTTAGAAATAAAATACATGTTCAAGATTTAGAGCGTGTTTAGTTCCGAATTTTTTTGGCTTTTGGCTACTGTAGCACTTTCGTTTGTATTTGGCAAAAATTATCCAATTATGGACTATTTAGGCTTAAAAGATTCGTCTCACGATTTCTCGGCCAACTGTGTAATTAGTTTTTTTTGTCTACATTTAGTACTCCATGCATGTGCCGCAAGATTCGATATGACGAGGAATCTTGAAAATTTTGGGTTTTGGGTTGCATCTAAACGGGGCCTTACATGAGAGGCAGAGAGAAAGGGGAGAGAGGTCGGTGTCATCGAGGTGGCGTTCCTCGGCGGCGGGTCTCGTTAGCGGACATCATCTCATACCGTTCGGTGGAGAGGAGAGTCGGTGCATTGGCGCCCTCGGTGGCGCTTCCGGTGGCGTTGTCGGCGTCGGTGGTGCTTCTTCTCAAGATTCTCAAGATCGGTTAGGGTTAGGATGTCGGTGGGGTGATCAAGCGGCGCGTGAACCTCATCATCTGCGAGCCCCTTCCCCACTTTCCTTTATAGCGCTATACGACGGGGGCCCACCAATCATGTAGGGTTGGGCGCCCCCGATCAGGGCGTGAGAACAAGGCCCAAAAAGGCTGTTGGGCCTAACTGGTGGGAGATCAAACCTGATATTCTCCCCCTTGATCTCTCATCTATTATTCGTTCTTTAATTTCATACTCAAAACTTTCAATTCATATTTTTCTTGCTTCCATCCTATTTCATCACATATTTGTACATAGAACTGTCCCATCGTTACAGCAATTAGTGCCGTTAGACTAACAGCCACAATACACTTCTCCGTTTTAAAATGTAAACTTTCTTTGAGCCCTTCGTATGTCCGGGAATCATAGGCTTTTCCTTAAACCCATGCCCGCTACATGTTTTCTGAATACGTTGGGTGGTAAGCCCTTTGTGAGCGGATCCACGAGCATTTTCTCTGTATTTATATGCTCAAGATTTATTATATGATCCCGAACTTTATCTTTCACAACATAGTACTTTATGTCAATGTGTTTGGCAGCACCACTTGACCTATTGTTGTGAGCGTACTGTACCGCTGGATTGTTATCACAATACAATCTCAGTGGTTCATTTATATCATCAATCACTTTCAATCCGGGTATGAATTTCTTCAGCCAATTTATCTGTCCCGTTGCCTCATAGCATGCTATAAACTCGGCATACATTGTCGAGGATGTAGTTATGGTTTGTTTGGAGCTTTTCCACGATATAGCCCCTCCTGCGAGAGTAAATACATATCCTGACGTGGATTTTCTTTCATCTCCCGCATAATTAGAATCTGAATACCCCTCTATCTGCAGGGTATCAGATCTTCTATACGTAAGCATGAGGCCTTTCGTACCTTGCAAATAACGCAGAACTTTCTTCACTAATTTCCAATGTTTAATTTCTGAATTCTTTTGATATCTACCAAGTAACCCGGTAACAAAAGCTAAGTCAGGGCGTGTACACACTTGAGCATATTATAAACTTCCAACAGCTGAAGCATACGGTACCGCTTTCATTCGATCAATTTCATATTAGTTCTTGGGACACTGATGTTCCCCAAACCTATCGCCCTTCACTATAGGAGCAGGTGAAGGACTGCACGCATGCATACTAAATTTCTTCAGGACCTTTTCTATGTATGCTTTTTGCGATAATCTTAGAACCCCTTTTCTCCTATCTCGGTGAATCTCTATTCCCAAAATGAACGAGGTCTCACCGAGATCTTTCATATCAAAGTTTGAGAAAAAGAATTTCTTCGTTTCCATTAGTAGATTGATATCATTACTAGCAAGTAAGATATCATCCACATACAAAATTAGGAATATGTACTTTCCATTCTTGAACTTTGCATAAAAGCAATTGTCCTCAACATTTTCTTCAAACCCAAAACCTTTTATCGTTCTATCAAACTTCAAATACCACTGTCTTGAAACTTGCTTCAATCCGTAGATTGATTTCTTCAGGCGGCATCCCATATTTTCCTTTCCTTTTATGACAAAACCTTTTGGTTGTGCCATATAAACATTTTCTTCTAAATCCCCGTTTAGGAAAGACATCTTTACATCCATTTAATGTAACTCTAAAATATAGTGGGCTACAAGTGCCATTATAATTCTGAAGGAATCTTTACATGAGACTGGAGAAAACGTCTCATTGTAATCAATCCCTTCTCTTTGCGTGAAGCCTTTAGCCACAAGTCGTGCTTTAAATCTTTCTATATTCCCTTGGGAGTCATATTTCGTTTTGTAGACCCATTTACACTATACTATTTTGGCTCCTTTAGGAATATTTTCTAAGTCCCAAACTTTATTGGTACTCATTGATTTCAATTCATCTTCCATGGCCTTAAGCCACTTTGATGAGTGATCGCTTCTCATGGCTTCTTCAAATGAGGTGGGATCATCCCCCATCTGACATTCTTCTGTTTCATAAACTTCATAGTCATCAGTAATAACTGATCTTCTTATTCTTTGAGACCTTCTAGGTGCCTCCGGCACTTGTTCCACATTGGACTGTTGTTGTTCTTCCTCATGTGCAACATTTGGTTCTATAGGTTCCTCAAGGATAGGTTCCTCAAGGACAGGTTCCTCATGTTCATTCATTGTCGTCACGGGAGAACTTGCAACGGGTGTTGGCGCTACAGTGTCCTGCACTGTCGGTGCAACAACAGCAGGTAGCGTGAAGAATGGTTCTTCAACCATCGGAGTGGGTACATGTACCCGCTTGTCCTGTAGGCTGATTTCTCGTGCTACCATGCTCCCCCTGATCATGTTATCCTCTAAGAACACAGCGTGTCTTGTTTCTACAATCTTCGTATGTCTGTCAGGACAATAGAAGGGATATCCTTTCGATCTTTCTGTATAGCCAATAAAATGGCAGCTGACTGTCTTGGAGTCTAACTTTCCTATGTTTGGGTTAAACACTTTTGCCTCAGCTGGATAGCCCCACACACGTAAATGGTTAAGTGAGGGTTCTCTTCCTGTCTATAATTCATACGGTGTTTTAGGCACCGATTTACTTGGTACTTGATTAAGTATGTGAATGGCGGTTTTCAGTGCCTCCATCCATAAACTAATCGGTAATGTGGAGTAATTCATCATGCTTCTTACCATATCCATTAAGGTACGGTTACGTCTTTCAGCCACTTCATTCTGCTGAGGCTCCTCCGGTGTGGAGTACTGAGCAACTATGCCATTTTTCTGTAAGAACCTTGCAAATGGTCCAAGAATTTGGCCATATGGGGTATGTCGCCCATAGTACTCTCCACCTCGGTCTGATCGTACTATCTTGATTTTCTTATTGTGCTGATTTTCAACTTCAACTTTAAATATTTTGAATTTATCCGATGCTTCCGATCTTTCTTTAATTGAATAAATATTGCCATAATGAGAGTAGTCGTCTGTGAATGTTATAAACGAGTCATAACCATCCACATTTTTCACAGGAAAAGGACCACATATGTCTGTGTGGATTATTTCTAAAATTTATGTGCTTCGTTTGGAATCTTTCTTAATTTTCTTGACATACTTTTCTTTGATGCAATCAATACATTGTTCTAAATCTGAAAATTCTAAGTGCGGGAGAATTGATTCCTTAACCAATCGTTCCATTCTCCCCCTCGAAATATGGCCCAAGCGACAATGCCATAATTTCGAAGAGACAATATCAATTCTCTTCCGCTTCTAAGTTACATCCGCAGATGGGGAATCATTCATATTCTCATCGCATACATTGTTCGCATTCTCAGCAAGAGATAATAAATAAAGCTTATCTTGTCGGAAGGCAAGACCAACACATTTATTATTAACCAGTATCTTACACTTGCCATCACCAAAATGACAATCAATTCCATCATCATCAAGTTTCGAAACACTTATCAAATTTCTACGCAAAGAGGGAACATAACGTACTTCTTTAAGTCTAAGTACAAAACCATTATTCAATTCTAAAGAAAAAAACTCCAATGACTTCAACATTGGCTTGCACTCCATTTGCAACTTTAATCGTTCTTTTTCCTCTTTACAAAGTTCTCGTCCCACTTAACCCCTGTAAGGAATTTGCAACATGAGTAGTTGCACCTGAATCAACCCACCAAGTGGATTTATCATAACATAAATACAGGAATTCATCTACAAATGTAATAAATTCATCACCTTTCTTTAGCAGAGATTTCAGGAAGTCTGGACAATCCCTCTTGTAGTGTCCCTTCTTGAAGCAGTGCTTGCACTGATCCTTTTCAGCTCCACCATACTGTTGATTCTCAGAATCCTGGGGTTTCTTTCCCTGTGAATTGGAGAAAGAGGCCTTATCCCACTTAGATTTCCCTTGTGGTTTAGAATTCTTGCCATTAAAGTTCTTTCTTTTGTTATCCTTCACAAAATGAGCGGATTCACCTTGTGAGGACTTTATCATCTCCTCTTCTTGAGCACACATTGAGATGAGTCTTTCTATGCCCCATCTTTCAGGCTGCATATTGTAGTTCACAATGAAGGTGTTATATTCTTTTGGCAAAGAAGTAAAAATCAAATGAATCAGGAAATCCTCCTCCTTCAAATTCATTTCTTTTAGCTTAGATGCCGTAGTGTTCATCTTCAAAATATGCTCTCTTATGCTACCACCAGTGAATTTCTCATTCACAAGCTTCTTAATCAGTGAACTGGCCGACCTA